ACTTGGGGGAGTGCCTGCGCCCAGCGGTGCCCACATGCCCCTAGTCCTCCAGGAACGGCCTCCGCAGCTTGAGGTGACACTGGGGGCCCGCCCCCCACTGTCCACCCTGCTGCCCCCCCCAGACGCCGGTCCCTCCCAGCTGTCGGCAACAAAGCTGTCCGTCCTCTGAGGGACTGGGGACCTGCCCTGCGAGTCGGCCAGGCGGTCTGGGCGAGCCCGGGCACCTTTCAGACCCCCTGCCGACGCGTAGGCAGAGCTCGGGCTGTGGTCTGCGGGTGGCGGGCGGGGCCACAACTTTGGCCGTTCCCCCACCATTTGTCCTGTTTGGAGTTGAGCTCTTGCTAGACTCGCCTGCTTACGAAGCAATTTAAAACAGATCTTTCTATTCCAGAATCTCAAAGGATCACCTTTGGACCTCTTCCAAATATTCTTTTTCTTAACTCCATTCAAACCAACTGAATTTGGCAGGTTATCCTCTGACCCGATGCAGCATTCCGTGCCCACCCTGAGCACTCCCAGGGCTGAGCGCCCAGAGGACCCCACGAAGGGCAGGGCCGGTGTGGCGGCATCGGTGTTCCTGTGGAAACCCAGCTCAGAGCCCATCCGCGGGCTTCACTGAGGGAAACTGGGAGGAGCGGCTGCCCACTCCGCCACGGGCACCGTCCTGGAAGATCACGCAGAGCCGAGCCTGCCCACAGTGCCACCTGGAGGCCTGCGCTCGTGAACGCCATGTGCCAGGTGAGCGTACCTACCTGAAGGGTAGAGATGCACTGTATGGCCACAGCGGGGGCTGTACCGCATTCTGTGTATGGGGTTTTGATAAATGTACTACAATTTGCTTTAAATTGTCTGCTTTCCCAGCGTTTGGCCAAACACCAGCTCCCGCTGCCCCGCGGCTCCAGCAGGTGACAACTCTAGGATGGAAAAACACAGGTGACCGTGGATCCTGGAGTGCATGGTTCGTGGGGCCGACGCCATTGCAGAAGCCGAGGCCTCCCGCTGGGTCTCGTGGGCATGTGGCCACAGGAGGGGATGGCGAGTGGGTGCTCATGGCCTCGGATCTAGGCCCTCCCCGTTCCAGCCTGCCGCTCATCCTCTCGGTGCCCCCCTCCCCCGGCAGGAGCAAGCAGCGGAGCGGCAGTGTGGAGCCCCGACCCCGAGGCAGGAAAATGCCTCGGTAGTGTTAGCATAAAGAGAAACACCAGCCCCACCTTGGTTGCCCCCGGAAACACGGGAAAGGGAGTGAGCCAGTGTGACAAGTAGGATTCCCAGCCCCTCCCCCTCGCCCCCACGCCCTGTGCACCTGCAAGCCCGGCGGGTGGGCGGGCACCCTGCATCCCCGCAGGAAGGAGCGCCTGCTCGGTTCAGAGGGTGAATTCTCTCATTTGCAGCTGGGCTTCCAGTACGTCCCCCACACTGGGCTTTTTCTTCACGTGCATTGACAGCATTTATTAAGTTTAAGAATAAAAACATAATTCAGAAGCGCTCCAGAAAATCTGAACTGCGTAGGGTTTACTCCGCATGTCCAAGGCTCCTCGGGAATCCTGGAACTAAGACACCCACGACCCGGCAAATGTCCCCCTGGCTGTGGGACATTCATAAGCATGGACGATGCCAGCCCGGTGGTCATGCCAGGAGCTCCTGGGATCGGGATGTGGTGGGGGCCACGAGCGAGGGCTGCGGGGGCAGGACGGGCTGGGGAGGGTGGCCCCAGAGCAGAGGGCGTGCGGAATAGTGCCGCAGGGGTGTGGGCCCCTCCCTGCCTCTTCCGTGCTTCATGCTTCGGGCAGGCGACCGAGCTCCTGCGGGTCCGGCCCGTGACACAAGGTGGCTTCTCCAAGAAAAGCCCCTTTCTGCACACTTAGGCCCCACACAGTGCTCTTTCCCAGGACCCCCGTGCTCCCGGCCCTGGCCCCCAGCTTGTGACTCACCCGTCTGTCCAGTGCAGCCCCCGGGAGCATCCCCCCAGGTGGGCCGAAGGAAGAAGGCACCAAGCAGGCCTGAGGGCTCATGGCAGAAGGCCCGTCCTCACGAAGGGTCCGGCACACTCCCTCTGAAGTTCTGCTCTCACTCTAGCTGGTGTAGCAAGAGACAGCGAATCTCCATTTGTTGCCAAAAGTCCAAATGAGGGAAAAGACAGTGACATCCATCTCAGACGGGATCCTCCAGCCCAGAAGCCCTCTGCTCCATCGGACACCTGTTCCACGGGCAGGTAAGTGCGTCTCCATGTGCCACGCCGGCGGGGAGCTGGTGGCCAGCAGGAGTTGGTGTCCTGCCTGGTCCCCACGGACCTCAGGCCGGTGAGAGACCCACGACACAGCCTTACAAATGGGAAGTCGAGCACTGTGAGGAATGTGACACGGTGCTCAGCATGTCAGTGGGACCTGGAAGGTCTCATGTTCGCCGCAGCTGGGAGGCGACACTGAGGCCGCGGTCTAGCCAGAGAGCTGCTGGGAGGGAGGGGACAGTGCAAGAGAAGCAGCGCAGTGGCCCATGTGCAGGAGCGGCCCGAGGACAGGGGACACTGGGCCTGGCCTTGTGGCCAGAACCTCACAAGCGTGTCAAGAGGCTCGGGGTAGTCGCAACTTGGCATGGCCTCACAGGGAGCCTCGTTGATGGTGTTTCTGGTTCATTCATTGGGTGCCTGGGGTCATTTCTGACCCAGGAGGTGGAGGCCGGCTGCAGGTCAGCTGGGGCTCGGGCTGTGCCCTTGAGCCACCTCTGGTGAGCGACTCCATGGGTCACATGGGTCATCACAGGGCGGGGGTAGACTGAGCACCTCGTGGTCCCTGGAGGTTTTTTGCAAATGGCTTTTTTAAACCCCCGACTAACTTATTTGTGTCTGTGCCCAAGAATAGAGTTCAAAAATAACATACAGGTGTTCCAGGTTCTCATGAGTCCAGGTGCTGCTGGGCGGTTCTGGGAAGGGCAGTGGGAGCCGCCTTGGCTGGCTCTGCCCGAGACTCCCGGTCACCCTGTGGCATCCGCTCGCTCTCTGAGGGCCTCAAGTTTGCGATCCCCTGGCATCCTTGAAACCCAGTTCCTGTCCATGCATAGCTGCCCCACCACGAGGGGGAGTCCTCCCGGGCTACAGCGGCCTCCGCAGCCCCGGGTCCAGTTCAAGAGCCCCCCGAGGAAGCCCTGATGTCCTACCCCCACCACCAGCCTTCCCCAGGGTACTCGGACTCGGCTGGGGCCTTGGCCCCTCTGGACAGATAGTCCACGGAGCCCGAGTCCTGGTGCCCTTGCCCTAGGGTGCTGCCCCCAAGCCACGTGCTGCGGCAGCCGGAGCCTCCCGGGAACCTCGGAGCTGGGGGCCCCGACTCCGCTTCCTGCTCAGCCTTCCCCTGCGTGCTTCTGCGGAGCTGGAAGCAGATGGGCCAGTGTGCCCTCCAGCCTCGCAGCCTGGGACGAGTGACGGGCACACGTCCCTGCTGCCTAGACGGACCTGCTCGAAGGGGCGGGTTCTTTGCAGGAAGATGGGCCTGTCCCTTCCCGGGTAGATTGGGGTCCTCCGCGGCCCCTGCCTGTCGGGTTTGAAAGCAGCTTCTCAAGGCCCCGGGCTCAGACCTTGAGTGTGGGCGCGTGTGCGCACCCCTGGAATGGTGTAGCTGCTCTTTTGAACTTGATGGGATCTAAATTTGGACTCTTAGCTTCAACATTAGCTGCTTGGCCAAGGCATGGCATGTTTGGGGTTATTTTTAAGCCTTTTCGAGAGTTCATTCCTCGGGGAAAGGTCTGAATCCGCTGTCCCATGAGACTGTTAGCAGGCCCACAGCCACCTTCTGACCTATTCTCTGGCACTGTGCAGGGGAGGGGCAGCAGGGCCCTCCTGTGCCCGCAGGGTGCACCCGGGGGCAAGGAGGAGTGGCCACTGGGAGAGGAGGCTGCCGCCACACCCACCTTCATCAGAACTGTTTAGATGGGTGCTGAAGCTGCTTCGGAAGGCCAGTAAGTTCCCAGCGCCCCCGCCCCGCACTCGGGAGTCACCATACACGTGATGTCTTGACCCCAGAGTATCTTTAGCCCCACGTGGGACTCACGGGGACCGGGGACGGATACAGAGCTCGAAGGCAATACAGTCCACTTTGTATGTTTATTAACAAAAACCAGGCCCCTAGGGAGCCATGGTGTGTCGATACCCAGTTCCGCTCGCATAACGTGTGCCACCGCCCCTGGGGACTGTCCCAAACTGCTCCCCACCCCTCCAGCCTCCTCAGTGCCAGAAGGAACCTCTGTTCCTCCAAGTTTTATTCTCACAATGTTCCCCCCAGCAGCTGGCTTTCAAACCACTGTCCCTTTGCAGCCCAGAGGCAGAGCAGACAGGCAGCCACCCCCATGGCCCAGGCTCCGCCCCGAGTGCTCCCTGCCCACATCCTAGCTTCTCCGCTACCATCCGGAGACCCACCTTTTGCAGAAGACGGAAGGAAACTGGAAAACAGGTAACGTGGCCGAGGCAGCAGGAGGGCCAGTCCGAGCCATGCTCACGGATAGGTCAGGTTCCCAGTCACCCCAGCTCTGCCTGGCAGTGCCACCACCATCCTTAAAGGGAGGGGTCCCAGGGCCCCTCCCTGTGAACCTGGGTGACAGCTGTGCTGGGATACAGGGGCAGCGGCATTTTGGGGTGCTCCTGGAGGTGCTGGGCCCGTGGCCTGAGCCCCAGGAGCCAGCCCTCCGTGCAGCTGACCTTCCTTCCTACAGACTCTGCCCCCAATGCAAATGCCTTAGCTCTAAGCACGGGTTGGGGCTTTAAGGCACGAACGAAGGTTGGGGGCTGTGTTCGTGGCGACGACTCCCAAGGCACAAGCCTTCCTCTGCTGGCTTCTCCCCATTTCCCTCCCTGACCTCAAGCCCACACCTGCACCCAGTGCTTTGCGGGCCTGGGACCCTGTGCTCCTACCTGGAGTCAGCAGACAGGAAGCTTCAGGCCTGCTTACTGGGGGAGGAGATCCTCGATCTGGGTTGTATTTTGCAGTTTTTCTTAGGGAAGCCCCCAGACTGTAAAGCTAGCCCCAGAGTGTAAGAGCACCCCTGTCTGGTCTCTTTCCAGGAGGGAGACGCTGCTGTAGGCGCACTGCTGGGGGCCGGGAACCTTCCCTCCGCCGCTGCACAGACACACAGAACTAGGACGGAGCTGGCAGACGCCCGTGCACGCCCAAGCTTCAGCTCAGGAAACGTGTGACAGAAGCAAAAGGACACAGACACCCCAGATAAGCTGGCCGCCTCGGCCCAGCCTGCGTGAAAAGGAGTCCAAGGAGTCCGTGATGACCCCGTAAATGCCCGGACCTGAGACCCCAGCGGCGCCCCTTGTCCGCAGCCCACACTGCTCTCACCACTGCAGGGGACGGCAGGTGACCAGGTCGGGGACATGGAGGGCCTCGGTCACCGCGACCCTGCCCGGCAGCCTCTGCAGGCACCGCGTGCAGCCTGAGGCTCAGAATGCTGGGCCAGCCCTGCCCGCATGGGGTCGGCCACACCGTAAGCCCCTCACTTCCCCCGGGCATACAGCCTGGCTTCTGCCCTGGGCAGCCTCTGCTCCAGTGGGGCGGGCGAGGGAGGCCCAGAGCCCCCAGTGCCGTCTAGGCTGGGCCTGAAGACTCTCTGCTGGGACCCTGGGGACAGGATCCAGGACTGCCGCTGATCCTGGGGGTGCACGGCGACAGACGGATGGGCTTCCGGGTTAATTCTCCTCCGCGCTCCAGCGACAGGGGGACGACCCCGCCCTGGCCAGTCTGCGCGTGCTCAGCTTCCTCCGCAGGGAGGAGAGCGTGCCCCCCAGGACCCTGCGCAGCCCAGGGCCATCGCGGCTGCAGGGCAGGCCGGGCCGGGGTGCGGGGAGCTGCCCCGTGAACATCCCCCACCCGGCCAAGGCATCCACAGCCCCGTCCACCTGTGCCAGCTCCTCCTCTGTCACCTCCCGCTCCAGGGCCTGGATGCACAGCGCCAGCCACTGCCCGTGCTCCTCGATGGCCTCGCACGGGGGTCCGAGCTGCGGCGGGCTCTCAGGGATGGCCAGCGAGCCCAGCCCCTCCTCGTGCTCCAGCTCCGGCCCCACGGAGAAGCTGTGGCTCCCCGCGTCAGGGGTTAGGGGCTCCGACAGGCTGCTGCCCGGCTCCGACGCACTCCCGCAGCTCAGACCCGAGTCTGTGCTGCCCGGCAGGGTGTCCGCCGCGGACGCCGCCCCCGCATCCTGGCTGGGCCGAGTCCGCGTCCCCGCTTGAGTCCAGGAGTAAAGTCTCTGGGAGGGAGAGACAGAGGCTGGGCTGTGTGAGTGTTGCCCTAAGACCCAGCCCCTTTGTGGGGGACCACCCTGCCCCCACCAGCCCGGGCCCCCCAGGGCCCCCCACACAAACACTCAGAAGCGGCGCATGCCCAAAGTTCAATTTAACCCACACTGTATTAAGAGCAATAAATACTCAGAACTTCTCCTGCACATGGTCTTACTTTTCTGATCTTTGCTCTCACTTCTGTCTGGTGTCTGCATGGTGGACACGCCTGTAACCACGTGCTAGACACCCCTTCCCAGCGCTGCTCCCAGTGTCATCCACACCCCTCCGCAGCTTGGTCGGTGTTTCCAGCACCCCACTGACCGGAACAAGGGGACAGCAAGGACTGTTCCCCGCCCAGCCCTCCGTCAGCACTCGGTCACTGCCAGAGTGTCCAGGGACCGACCCGGGTTCGAGGGCCCGACCCGGGTTCCAGGGCCCCCGTCCTCCTCCTCCTCTGAGCCCCTCCAGTCACATGGGTGAGGCTCCAGAACAGGCTCCCTTCCTGGGCAGGGGTGTGTGCAGAAGGTGGGAGCGCTGGGTCAGGGGAACACAGGCCCGAGGAGGGACACAAGTAAAGACACCCCTGCTTTTCATCAGCCAGAGCCAGCCACCTTCCCTACACGTGCCCTGCAGCGTGTGCCCACGCCCCTTAAGTCCTCAGTGGGGCTGTGTTGGGGGGCCCTTCCACCTGGGCTGGATAGCCCATTTCCCAGTCACCCAGAAAAGATCTGCATCGGGAGGCAGCTCTGGAACTTGGGAACACCCAGCCTGCTAGGTCAGCAGTCGTCAAAGTGGGGTCCCCGCTCAGCAGCCCTCCTAGGAGCCTGAGAGATGCAGGCCGTCCCGTCCAGAGGGGCCAGGTCAGAGACTCCCTCCTGCCCGAGAACCTATCCAAAATGGAGTCTGGCATCCCCCACCTTCACCAGAAAACCACCACTTATGGCCTCCCCCAGGACAGCGGTGAGCCCCTCTCCCTGGGCTCGCCTGGGACCCTGCTGTGGGCAGTGCCTTGAGGCGACAGCAGAGGGCAGCATTGACCCGAGAGCTTGGCCCGGCCACCTCCCCAGCGCCTGCAATGGCTTCCTCCTCCCAGGGGCTGGCCTGGCAGGCTGGGGGGAAGCTGGGGGGCTGCGGCTTGGGCCCTGTGCGATGCCGGAGGGGCCCTGAGCAGATGCAGGAAGTGTTAGGATAGGCCCAGCACCTGACCAGCGCTCAGAGAGCGTGGCCTGAGAAAGAAGAACCATCTGCCCCTCTTCCCTCCCACAGAGCAGCAACCTGATGGCCACAGCCCCCATCACTGGGTGCAGACCTTAGGCCAGGCGCCCGGCGAGGGCCGTGAACACTGCCCAGCACCAGCAGGAGGCCAGGAGGTTGGCACAGGGGTCTGTTCACTCGCCCACAGGGCCCAACTCTCGGCCCGCTGCCCCCCGAACCCCATGCACGAGGCCTGCTAGGGCGCTCAGATGCCCCCTCTCCCTGCCAGCGCGCCGGCGGCTCACCTTGTACCTGTCGACGAGCTTGAAGCCGAGGACGTGCTGCAGCTTCCGCAGACAGATGGGACAGAGGTCCAGGGGCCGCCGCAGGGCCTCGTCCAGGCTGAGCGCCCCCTGCATGAGGCAGTGCAGCCAGCGGCAGTTCCCCAGCCCCAGGAGATGGCAGAGCTCGTGACACGTGACCTGAGGGAGACCACATAGCGTCATTGCCCTTGCCGCCGTGATCCCGGCCACCAGCCAAGCCCCCAGGGCTGGGGTCCGCGCCCGCAGGAGCCCCCATGGCCAGGAAGCAGGCCCTGTGCCCTCGCCCCTGCTCCCGACGGCACAGGGCACAGATGGACAGCTCTGGAGCACCCAGGGCCCGCCCAGCACGGGAGCTGGGGCAGCAAACAGGTTCACACCCCAACTCCGCCTACTCCCAGCTGCGTGAGCTCAGGCAAAGGTATGGGCGGCTCCAAGCCCTGTTGTCTGTGCTCTGGACAGCCTGGCCTTCGGCATGGGGCTGTCTGGAGCGCTCAGGCCCTTCTGGCTGATTGCCCATCCTCAGCAGCGGCCCGGAACTCACCAGAGCCCCCAGGCCTTCCATCCTCTTGCTGCCCCATCTCCTTCCCCCCTGCCCCATGCACTGACCCCACGCCCTGGCCTCCCTGCCCACCTTGCAGCACTGGACCATCCCCAGGGCACTGAAGCACACAGTTGGGCCTCCGTCCTGCCCGGGAGTCACAGGGTCGTCTGTGGCCACCTCCACCAAGGCTGGATCAGAGGCGCGGGGTCCCGATGGCAAGAGATCCCCCGAGAACCGGGCAAAGCTGCAGACGCCTACCTCTGGGGAGAAACAGAGACACAAGGCGGCATCTCACGGGGAGCCTGGGAGCAAAGCCACCCCGTCCTCGGGATGCATGGGTCCTGGAGGCCCGGCCCTGCCAGCGCGCCTCCACAAAGGCCACTGCGAGGTCCCTGCCCAAGAGGAGGCAGGACTTGGGGGTGTGCATCCTGGAGCAGTTTCCGGGTAGGGTGTCATCTTCCCCAGGAGAGTTGGGGCTCCCATGCACTGGCTGCCCCATTTTGCACCCCAGGGTGCGCCCACCCACCCCCGCAGCACGGCTGGGGCAGGGGCTGCCGGGGCGCGCTGGCTCACCGTGGCCTGGAAGGAACTTGCCGAAAGTGAAGCTCCAGGCCTCGCAAGGGTACAGGTCGGACAGCGTGAGGCCCAGCACGCACAGCGCGTCCCCCGGCTTGCTGTTCTTCAGGAAAGACAGGATGCCGTCTGCGAGGGGAGAGGGCCCGAGGGGCGGTGAGGGGGCGGCCGGGCCCCCGTCTCCCCAGCCCAGGATCCGGGCTGTTCTCTTCCTCTGCCTGTGGCCAGCCCCTCCCTAAGTCAGGTGCAAGCTGCCCACATTCCACAAGAAGCTCGTGGTCCGAGGTGGGGAAGTCCCAGCAACCACACTGCACGACGCAAAGCAGGAGCCACAAGGCCTGGGCCCCAGGGTCCGGCAGCCGGGGTCATGTGAGCAGGCCCTCAGGGTCTCCGTTTCCAAAACTCAGAAGAGCTGGCTTGGACGGGGTAGTTGAGAGGCCCAGATACATCCCAGTGGGGGCACGAGGAAGGCCACTTGACCAATGGGACCAGTGTTCAGGGGACAGTGCCCTGGCAGCCACCGGATACGGCAGGAGCCCCAGAGACCCATGTATC